GACTTGAACCACTGGCCTGCTGTGTTGCCTGCCAATCTTAGAATTGTTGCCTTTGCAACCTGTGAGCCAATAATCTGCCATTTTACCTGCCCTCCTTGGATTCACCATCCTCCAAAGCAGCCTGCTATACTGCCTGCTGATCTTGGGTTCATCAGCCCCTGAAGCTGAGTCAGTCAGGAGAAGCCTCCAGCTTGATGTTTGATCCATGGACTTGGGACTTGCAAGCCCCTACAACTGCATGAGCCATTTCCTTGAGATCTCTCTCTCTCTGTCTCTCTGTAGGCTTCACTGGTTTTGCATCTCTACAGAACCCAGCCTAAGACAAGTGCTTAGCTGCTAACCAAAAGATTAGGGGTTCAGATCCATCAGAGAAAGATGTGGCAGTGTGCTCCCATAAAAGTTACAGCCTAGGAAACCCTATTTATAAAGTTGCACAGTAATGTATCAGACAGTGTTTCTCTATTCATAAGGTTTTCCCTGACCAATTCTTTGAGAAGTGGATGGCTTCTTCCTTCTTCCTAGTCTGTCTCAGTCTGCAAGCTGGGCTAATACCTGTGCACCATGTGCACCCTGCTGGGTTGGAAACACCAGTAGCACAGCCTCAAGACTCACAGCAACACGTCACCATAGTTGGACAAACTACAGACAAGTTTGTCTCCTTTAGCTGTTGGAAACCTCCCCAACCTCCTCTTACCTGGATCCCTGCAGCTGACTCCTCATTCTGTCCTGGTCCCTCTTGCCTTTTCTGTCCTTTCCCCGCTTTCCTGCCTTGCTGCTTTGGGGTATAGCCTGGGTTCCCTCTCCTCACCTGGATATCTGTGACTGACTCCTTGCTCTGTTCTGGTCCCCCTGGCCTTTTACTCTCCTTTCTCCCACTTTCCCACCTTGCCGCTTTGGGGAGTGGCCTGGGTTCCCTCTCCTTACCTGGATCCCTGAGACTCACTCCTCATTCTGTTCCAGTCCCCCTGGACTGCTAAAAGAACTAACAGATCTGTCTTGGAGGAAGTGCAGCTGAAATGCTCCTTGGAAGCGAGAATGGCCAGACTTGTCTCACCTACTTTGGTCATGTTGTCAGAAGGGACCATTCCCTGGAGAAGGATGTCATGCTTGGTAAGGTGGAGGGTTGATGAAAGAGGGAGGGCCTTGAATGAGAAGGATTGACATGGTGGCTGTGACAATAGGTTCAAGTATAGCAAGGATCACGGAGCTGGTGCAGGATCACGGGGTGTTTCGTTCTGCTTTGCATGAGTCAGAAACAACTCGACGGCACCTAACAACAACCAACAACAAGGAAACCCTATGGGACAGTTCTACTCTGACTTATTATAGGGTTGCTCTTAGTCAGAATCAGCACACAACATCAAAAGTCTAAGCTGGGAGATAGATATGAGAGGCAAAGCAGCAAGACCAGAATCTAACAAGCAAACAAACAAACAAAACTCATAGGAAGTCACCACCTTTCGGGTTGTTCTTCGAGTCCCTCTTGTCTACCTATTTTTGTTTAATTTTCAAGGTCCTCTGATAGGGAGCTCTGGTGTTGTAGGCCCTAAGGCATTTGACTGCTAACCAAAGATTAGTAGTTCAAACCTATCAGCCACTTCTCAGAAGGAAGACTGGGCAATCTACTTCTGTAGAGATACTGCCTTGGAAACCCAAGGAGGAATTACTATGAGTTGAGATCGACTCCATGGCAGTGAGGTTTTTTTTTTTTTTTTGTGTGTGTGTGTGTGTGTGTTTTCTGATAGTTGCTTTTGTATTCTGTTCAGGGATCTTACCTATAATCAGTGGGAGAGGTAGAGTGCCTGAGGGGGTTTTGAAAGCATTTCTACAGTGTCTTCTGACCTTCATTGTTGCTGCTGACAAGGCTGATGACATTCTGACTCATGAAGCTTGATTCATCTGGTCCAGGGTGTCCAAACCAGTACCTTGTCCTGAATGTGGATCAGTAACACAGACATTTTGTGGGTATTTTGCTTGTTTCTCAACCTGCTCTCACTGAAACTCAGACTGCTCATGTTTATACTGTACGAGGTTAATGTATTTCCCAAAACTTTCATCCATCCTCAAAATTAATAAGGAAAGTTATTAATACTCAAAATCTAAAATCTATACTTTTAGATTTTGAGTATTAATAACTTTCCTTATTTAAAAAATATTGATATATTTCCTTCAGAATTATAACTATATAATTCATTTGTGCCCACAGTTGCCAATAGTCTCTTCCTATCAGTACGCAACCCTAATGTCCTCCAAGCCTCTTAACAACCCTTCATGTAATGCAGCTTTCTCTTACAGTATGAGAGTCCTCATGGTGGGCCTGGCCTATGTGGTATTCAGAAGCTGGGCTGGGGCTGATCTGGTAATAGTTTTATTTTTGAGTCATTCACTTTTACCTATAACCGATCTAGAAATTCAAACTAAAATTTGGAGAAGTATCATTTTGAAGGAAGATGGGGCAATCTACTTCCGTAGTGATACTGCCTTGGAAACCCAAGGAGGGGTCGCTATGAGTCGGGGCCGACTC